AGTAAGTGTCCTGTATCCATGGACAAAAAAAGATGGTTATTCGTTATAAATAAGTGAACGAAAATAAAAATACTATAGAGTTCACTAGTATAGAGTATGTTCTTTTTTTTATCAATTTCAATATAGAAATTCTAATGATAAATTATAACATATACCTGAGATGTTTATTTTAATTTGATAAAAAAATAAGAAAAAACAATTGTTAGCATTGTATATATGTACATATATAATGATTTTCATGAAAAACAAAGAGTCATATTTATACATCATGACTTCTTTGATAAAATGGATTTGTTGATGTCAATATAGTAGTTGATGTTTGTGTTTGTCGAGCAACAGTATTATTAGCAAAACGACCAGACGTTGAACTACTTGAATTACTATCATCAATATAAGGTAATTCATGTTCATTTCGTTTGTTTGTTGATAAATATGTTGTTGCATAAGGTGATGGACCTTTGGGAATTGATGGTGCTGAAAGTAATGGATGTGATGGTGTTGAAAGTGGTGTTGGTGTTGATACAGATGTTGTTTCAGAATTCATTTGAAATTCTACACTTTTATGGTGTGAAGTTGATCGATCTAAAGAATCATTTTGTGTATTCGATGTATGACGAATATCTTTCAATAATGGTGTTGGAGAACTACGCAAACGTAATCCGTCATTGCCAACAGTTGTTGGTAACGTAAAACAAACACCTCTTTGTGATTCAGGTTGTTTACTAAATGTCATATCTGATGATAAATGTGAAAGTGTATCACGTTCAATAGATATTTTTCCTTGACGAGGATTTGGTATAGGTGGTAGATCAGCGGTTATTGTTTGATCTGTACTTTCATTATCATTATTATTCGAATCTTTTTCATCTTCAGAATTAATTTTTTTTATTGGTATAAATAGTGATTCACGACCAATTTTATCGGCAAATAAAGCTATACGAAATTTCTTATAAAGTTCTAAAATAATTTTTGTACACACATAATCACTAACATTAGCTGAAAGTAAACGTAACATAAATGTACCATCACTTTGTAAATATTGATATACAAATATACGTCGCAATTCTTGTTCATTAGTATGTTCATGAGTTAAAAAATGTACAGTAAGACGTCGTTCAAGATAATGATAATTTGTATATGGTGACATACGATATAACCAAATTAAAATGGAAGCAGTATTAAAACAAGATAATATGAGAAGCCAAAAATATAGATAAGTAAATATTTGTTGATTAAATAAATTAAATGGTAATACACATTGAACTGTATAACGATGAGATTCTTTCGGATGATTTGGTTCACGAATAGTAAAATCACATAGGACCTAGAAAAAGAATATTGTATTTGTAACTTCTACAAGATTGACTATATTAAAATAAATGATAATTTGTAGACTTCTATTTGATCTTGCATGTCTACACTTCTGCATTCAGTCGTAAATTTAGTTAATAACTCGTTAAGAATAAAAGTTCAAATTGCGGTATACAAAAGATGCGCACGAGCGTGCGAATAAGGATTTGGGCACAGAATGAAGTCTTTCAACCTCATCCTCTGTTCTATTCTATTTAGCTTAATATATTTATCGAAATAACAGTAGATAATAACATGATTCTCAATGACAATATCTTCATCCGAAAAGCGATTTATTGTTTAATAAAGCTTTCTCATGATAGCATTGTAGAAATAAGTAGTAACTATAAGTATTCTTTCCTTCATTATATGCTATATTTATTACTCGCACATTATAGAAGTGTCGAAGGTCTAGTATACATTTCATGATTCTATTACATCCGTTTTGTTTAGCCTTAAAAATGTCTACAACTAATAAATCAAACCAAAAAAGATTCCGTATAATTCTATTCATACCACTTTGGGAAAATATTCATTTCCTGAATGAAGTAATCCGATCTGTTTTGTCCAATATCTATGTATAATTTCAATACCATAATACCAAAATTGTCTGCCTAATAATGTATTTAATAATAAAATTTGTCCAATTGAATTGAATAAATAAAGAACTTTAACAAATAAATAACTTATAATTAAATAATTTCCTGTATAAATTCCAATTGGAAAAAAAATATGATGTCCAATACGAATTAATTGAGCTTTTCGTGATACGTAATGTTTTTTTGCTCGAAGTGTTGTTAAACGATATGCATTTGAACAATAACCATTTAACCAATTTGTTAAATAATCAAGTAATTTTATTTTATCATCTTGTCGTATATTTGAAGAACGATATGTTTGAGCTGCTTCAACTAAATCTTTCAAATCAACACCACTACGAAGACTTAAACCACGCCATAATTGATGTGGAATATAAAATAATATTGCCATTAATAATAAAATAAAAGGTGTCCATTGATAATATTTAAGTTCTTGTTCATGACGATTATTTATATCATTTTTTAATGGTTCATGCATATCTTGTGAGTATGTA